TGTTTCTGTTTAGACTATATTCTCTCTCTCTCTCTCTCTCTCTCTCTCTCTCACACACACACACACACACACACACACACACACACACACACACACACAAACACACAGAGAGAGAGAGAGAGAGAGAGAGAGAGAGAGAGAGAGAGAGAGAGAGAGAGAGATTACTTTCCTTTCATTATGTATCATCATGATACATAATTAATAGTGTAATTAATAGTGTAATTAACATACACTATTAGTGTATGTTAATGTTTTACTGAACGATAACGAAATAAACATTCGCATTCATAAACTATCTAACATATACACACCAATGACAAACAACATGCATTTCATGAGGCACACTAGTAAGCAAATAAAAACAAAGAAAAGCATGCAAGCACAGGTGCACGCAGCTGCAGGTGAATCAAACTTCAAATAACATAGACACGTAGGGACTACCAAGTGTCCATGTACACTGTCATAGTGTGTCATAGTGTTAGTTTACCGACCCAATTTGAAAAGGTCAATTACAAATTAAACGTTCACAACAGGACAGACAGAAATACAGGGATATGATAATGAAATTGTTCGACATAAACCACAAATGTGAACAACATAAATGTGTCAGATCTACCTTTGCTGCCCACCTTTCAAATTCGCTTAATTACTTCTGCCTCATAATATTGATAATTCAAGTAACATTCAAAGATTAGCCTTGGGTAATATATATGCACTAGCACTGTTAGTTATCGTGACATTAGCAGCTACTATATCCATCAAACGTGGACCTAAACTGACCTTTATGGAATAAACAGCCGAGGTCGATGAAGCTGTTTGGTGGGTTTTTGCCAGTGCAAGCTGCCTTCAAGGTGAAGAAATATGCAGTATCTTTCTTAACAGCGACTGTCAGCACATAAAAACGTGTACCTGTGGTTGCGTACCTATTTCATTTGCCGGTTGCGCGTCTCTGTTTTGCGCATCAGCTGATTTACGTGTCATGTTGCAGGCGCAGCGTGTTCCGGGCGCCCGCGTCATTTGTGAATGAATCGCATAAATTGCTAACTAACCACATCCGGGTTAAGCCTTTTCATTGATCTTTTTCTTGGCTTGCAAGGTTTAAATGTAAGCGGGAAATGAAGATGTTTTGCCACAAACACTAACACGGTTTTAATTCAAAATCCCATTACGCATACAAGTAGGCATGGTACTAGCAAGTATGATAATCTGCTAACTCAGTTTTAGCTTTCGTCTGCCATGCCAGTATTCGATGTGGGCAGTTTGTAAACATAATGGATATGTACATAGCTTATGTATGTTATTGTTGGTACGAGCATATTCTTGAGTATGAATGATGTCAGGTAGATTTTCTTATAAACAATAATATGTGAAGGATGAGTGACAGATTGAATAGCAAGCAAAATAGATAAATAAGAAGATATGGACAACATTCTGGCGCTTGATAAAGGATTAGCTTTTAAATGGACCAATTTGGAACTCTATTTCGGTCCAAACACGGTAATTGTCAGTCCAGACTCATGCGCTCCTACTATTGAATTGTTTTTAACATTTTATTGGTGTCAAACACTTCAAATGTCAGTATTTGAAATTGTGATATTCCTATAATAAATCATAGCATCATACTTAAATTAATTATGTATAATTGTGTTATGACGTATGCGGCAACTAGTTTTAGTAGCGTTCGAGGCTATAATTGCGTTGCGTTTGCTTAGGCATCGAGTTGGCAGGTGGGCAAATAGCGATTGATCTCTATGCTAGCGTGACAACGTAATTTCTGATGCTTTCGGGTTATATGCCTCAATTGTGTTAGTTGCACTAGTTTGAGTACAAAGTACAATCTTTCATTCCCTTCTTTCATTCCATTGCTACATTTTGGACAGAAACTACAATCTTACCCGTGGGTCCTGACATGGCTGATACGGTCACTAGATGCTGAGAATTACGAATATTTCAGCTTCAGGCACCTAGCTAGTACAGAGGACGCTATCATAAATCCTTGGAAGTTGGAATCAAGAGTCAGATTTAGGAGCAAAATCACCATTCACGTGGCCAAGAGCCATAATAATTATAGTAAAGAATAGTTCTGTTCCATTATCCTATGTAAAGCCATTTATATGTCTGTACTGCAGTACCGCCATGTGCAAAATCTATTTCTATCTTACATTTTAATGGGTTTACTTAACAGGTTCATGAAAAAATATCATCTCAACTTAAGGTTCCGTGAACTGAGTCTGCAATGTAAAGAAACATTTTATATAGAAGAATTTTTCTTCACAAACAGAAAGGGCGTTGTTTCCATTTTTATCCTTTCTTTTTTGTACTTGCATGTCTAATATTGCATGTTGTCCACAGCGCTTACAAAAGACCTAAAGATTCCTGAATTTAAGTTCAGAAAATCTTTTGCAACTATTGACAGTAACAATATTCTTATAAATGCCATGATTTGGCAGTTGGCATAGCAAATACTGTGCACGTATGAATAAACTGAATGACCTGACAGGCAGCATTAGCAAATTACTTAGTATTGCATTATCGATAAGAGCAACATCAAAATTATAACTGTTGCAACTTTAACTCAATGCTAAATTGTGTTCGTCATACTGTGTCAATCGTTTGCCTGGGATGTTAAATGAGAAATATGTGGGCTGCAGTCGTTGAATGCTTACAACTGGGAATTTGCAGGCCAGTACATAGTTGCTGAACTACTTGGTTTTGAAGAAAAGCAGTGATTCTGCGCGCGCGATGTGGGGGTGCGTATTCGTCTTGGTACACAATGTTGTTCTTGAAGATGGTTCTTGCAAAGGGAAGCATTGTTTGCTGTAGAATGTCTCTGTGGGGATCTTGGTTGAGGTTGCTTTCTAGAAAAACCAACTGGTTCTGGGCACCGTTTTGTGGCAAAAAATTGATTTCATGTGCATCTTTAAGTGATCAGCATTGCTTCAAACAAAGCATTTTGTCAGTGAAATTCTATATACGAACATACAGTGTGTTCTTCAAATATGTGATGTCCCAGACTCTATGTGGCTATTGTTGCTTCATTTAAACTAATGTAAAATTTGCTTTTTCAAAGGCTCCTGTCAGAGGCTGCAGATAATACATCTATGTCAAATCTCATATTACTTCATGCATTTTTCATGCTCGAAATTTACAAATTCGTTGATCTCATGCTTAATTTGATTAATTTTGTTTCCGTGACATAAATTTTCTTTTAGATTATTTATTGGAATGGCTGTGCGAAATAAATGTATCCCACAAATACGGCATTCTATGCAATAAATCAACGCTCTCTGCGTTCACAAGTGCTAAGCATCATTAAAAGTGACTTGGTTTCAAAAAGTGTTCATCAAAATAAATGGCGGCTTGAAATATGTAGAGCGGTATATTTCGGCTATTATACCTTCATTTCAACCAATGTAATAAATTTTGTGAGGCTGCTCGGATGGCTGCGGATAATATGTTTATGTCAAATTTATTATAAATTATTTTTTTCATGCTGACGAAGTTTTCAAAAAGTTTTGGAAATCGTTCCTGTTTGAGTTTATTAGTTATGCACAGTGTTTTGCATGCCCTGTGCCGAATTGATCAGTGATGAATACATTATACTATATCTAAGGGGTCAAGTATGTTAAGTATTTTAAATCTTTGAGACCCAAAGGACCTCGCGTTATTGTGAACTTCTCAGCTTGCAGCATCATTTTGAATTTTTTACCGTTTCTAACCGTTTCTAATCTCTCTCTCTCTCACACACACACACACACACACACGCACACACACACACACCAAATAGGATACATTTAGCTTTGGTTGTCCGCAGAAGTACCTTAAAATAAATTATACGAATATAAATAAATCAATAAATAAATCAATCAATCAATAAATAAATAAATAAACGTTTCACAAAAGCATCAGATATCGTTTACACTACGATGTCACGTACGTGCGTGTGATAAAACGCAGTTCACCCTGACCGTTATAGAAAGTGTGCACATGGCAATGTAAAAATAACTAATTGGCCGAATAAGGAAAGGAAACGATTGAGCGAAAAATGCTACAGGTGAGACCGTTGACATCGGTGGCTATTTGTGTTCCAGCTTTTCTCGGTTGATACAAGGGTCCTGGACCTAGCATTGCAAATTGTACGGTGCTTTAGTTGTGAGTGACGATGATTTGTCATATACTATATTTTTGGCATTTCCCCATTTCCACTTCTATGATGGCAGTGAATGAGCTAAAATAACTAATGTGCAAACAAGTTTTATTTCATTTTAACTAATATGCTATTAAATGGATGTAGGCCTACTACATTATACGATTCACGAACTGTACTCGTATATCGGCTAACTAGACTAGTGGTACTACAGCTCACTGCATCATTGTTGAAGTAGGCATACTGATCAATGTTAAAGCGAGTGCAAAGTAACATTTTCAACATTTATTTTAATTGACATACCTACGTAGGAGCCCACGCATATTTAATGAAGGCTTTAAAAGTACAGTCTCCAAGACCTTTGGCCATTCTTACGTGACCTGGGTCAGGTTAGGGTCTAAAGCGGGTTGACTTACTCGCGGTAAGGTCAGGGGGTTGAGCGAAAGAGCCGCGATATTTAGTGCGTATAGGGGCCTAATATATAGAATAGTGGGGAAACCTACAAATATGGTATTGTCATCAAGTATAGCCTACTGCACTTTTGGGACAAAAGTCGTGGATCATGTTAATTTAATTTGATTTAATTTAATTTAATATAATTTTTGACAAGTAGGCCCTATTCAAGCACTTTCAAGCTTTATGTGTCCTTTATTTGATATATGCTGGTTGTACACGTAGGCCCTATCTTGTACAGTGGGGTCTATTCGCTAGCTCTTCATCTTTGTGACCTATTTGTTATCAGTCAAACATAGGCCTATGTTTTTCCCGTGCAGAATACCAACAGGCGTCAAAATTCACTAAAATATAGTATAGGGATCCGATCGAAAGTAGGCGTATTATACAGGTAAACAATATGCGACCATTGATACGTTTCATGTTGCTATTTACAATTCACGCTGTTGTTGATTCTGAGGATGTGTCTGTGACAACAGTAAACGGCGACCTTGTTGGCCTCGTCGCGGATACCATACTGGGGCGCGTGGTGCAGTTCCTCGGCGTTCCTTACGCCAAGCCACCAATCGGTAAACTGCGTTGGAAGCCACCAGAACCTCCTGATAACTGGCGTGGGCCGAGGGATGCACGTTCTTTCTCCCCGTGCTGCCCTCATAGCTATAAAACCCAGATTGAGCATTTTTACACAGAGGAATTTGTGCGGGCCCGTATAAGAGACCAGACTATGAGCGAGGACTGTCTCTACCTTAACATGTACGTCCCGAGAGCGGTGGTACCAGATCGCGAACGTCTATTACCGGTATTTGTCTATATACACGGCGGGAAATACGAGTGGGGATCTGGGGTCGAGTTCAATGGGACCTTTCTGGCACTACAAGGTAACATGATTGTCATCACATTTAACTATCGCCTCAATATATTTGGATTTCTGTCTAATGGTGAACCAGACCTCGCGGGGAATTATGGTGTGTTTGACACGGTGCAGCTCCTTGAATGGATCCAAACAAACATCCGGGCATTTGGAGGAGACCCCGCCCTCGTGACTGTTGGCGGCGAGTCAGCAGGTGGAGTGATTGTCGACTTGTTGCTGACAGCGTGTCCGCAGGTGCGTACTCGTGGACTGGTAAGGAGAGGAATTGCTCTAGGTGGGGTATATCATCTGAGGCGTCACAGGGCGCTGATTGAACAACGTACAATTAACAACAGCAGAGCGATCGCAGCTCTTTTAAATTGCACGTCAGCACACGGGGAAATAATTGTGCGCTGTCTTCGCAAGAAGTCAACAGACGAACTACTTTCAGCTTTTCTGCATTACCAGAGAGATCCAGTGTTTGCGCCAAATTTACTTCTTCCCATTCCTGATGGGAATGTGATCGACAGATCACTTGAATACCCCGGACCAGGAGCCCATGGAAAGGACTACATGATTTCTGTCTGCAACTTCGACAGCGGGGCCTGGTTTGGGATTGGAGGAACGGGTCCAGAAATCAACACGACGGCTGCCATATCTTTTACCAAAGGATTGATACAAATGCTTTATCCGGGTGCTAATGATTTTATGACCGACGCCGTAATATTTGAATATACGTCTCCCAACCTTCGAAAAGCGCATCAAAGCTGGCTAGAATTATGGCAAGATGCTTTTTTTCTTGCCCCCGGATGGGAGCATGCTTTACTTTGGCCAAAAAATGCTAACGTCTACTTTCTTAACTTTGCACATAAACCGTCTTTTTCAAAATGGCCGTCAGTGATTAATGGCGCCAACCACATGGAGGAGTTGTATTTTATGTTTGGGGATGTATTGGATGCAGCGCTGTTCCCATCGCGGCCAACCGACGAAGAAGTGGATTTGAGTATACAATTTATGACAGCCGTTGGGAACTTTGCATGGACTGGGTAAGTGTGAGTGAATTGGGCCCTAAGGCGAATTATAACATGTAGTATTACTTGGGTATTCGCTGACGCATTAAATACACGGTTAGAAAAATGTATGCCTAGAATTTACTAAGTGTTATTCTAGTTATCAAAATTGATCATTTGATCATTTTAAAAAAATATACCTGCATCCTTCATATCGTAACTATTAAGGAGGTTTTGTATTGCACCAGTGTAGGTGCAGAAAATCTTTTCTTTTACCTAGCCTCTTTTAATTCAACTTGACGTCTTGGCTTGCTTTATTATTTTGGATAGAATCACTCGAACCTGTTGCTTAATTTTTAACACTGTCTTGTTTAAATTGTATTTGTTAAATTGTTTTAAAAGGTAACACGTACATTTAAATTCGTATCACGCTTGTCAAAAATATATTACACGTTATACGTCAGACGCAAGCAATACTATTTATGTTTACATGTTGGACGCGCTAATATGTTTTTATACATTCATGAAAATTAGAATTTGATGCCTCTGGTCTCTTTTTAGCAATCCCAATCCAATTTCTACCTCGGCTCCACTAGTTCCAACGTGGCCTCGGTTTGATTCAACAGACAAACTGTACTTGGAGTGGACTGTAGGGTTGACGTCATCTAACGTGAAACGAGACTTGAAAGCGAGGCGCATGGAGTTTTGGAATACACTTCTCCCAAAATTCCTAAGTAAGTTGTTATTATTATCACAATGTAATCATATTATTATCAACATATTGCTATATTTCAATTATAAATAGTTTGCAAGTGTTACCTATCAAGCTGTTACTAGTTAAGGCATGTTCAAATTAGTAGAGACCATTTTACCTGGCGTATCTAAATGTTTATCCACCATACCGGATACTTGCCCAAGAATTTACCTAAATTTCATTAACTCCCAATGTGAACACATTTTACCATTTGGATTCCTTACTTTCATAGCTAACAAAGGCTGGAGAGCCTGGAGTGACTGGAAACCATGCCGGCAACCCTCCATTGGGACTGGGAGTAGGTACTATAGTTGTCGTAGAAGACTTTGCGACAATCCTCTTCCAGATTCTGCTGGTCAGGAGTGTACTGGGGAAGAAATTGAATGTGTTCAGTGCAGCTACGGTAGGTAAATTGAATTTGAATACCAAACACCGCTTCGTATATATATGTAAAACATTTTGTAAATTTCTAGTAACCAACTTCACAAAATACCGGTATATAGTTAAAAATGCAGTGCCGCAATGAGATGTTTCATGAACTATAAAATAAAAAACGATTTGTGCCGGTGTGACAGGAATGGAAGTCCTAGGAATGGAAGTCTGAAGTATCATATAACCAGTACGTGGTCGGGTTAGTCGGAGTATTGGGGTTAGTATATGGGACGAAAGGGGAAAGGACTGCAGTTCCTAGCGGACTACCATTCCTGTTACAACGGCATTGTGAATACGATCATATATGTTTTGTTCCAAATATTATTTTCGAACGTAAACTGTCTCTTTCTTACTGAACCAGTAATTTTAATTATGGGTTGAAACGCCTGGATAGCTGCAGCGGAGGGCATCAGTGCATGCAGTCAAAAAAATTCACGAAATGTTAGATTTTTGAAATTTTTATATTTCTTTATTTATTTTATTTATTTTGGTTATGCAAGCATCTTATGTTTAAAGTGGGTGTATTTAGCATGATATGATGTAAATAATGCTTAGCGAGCCATTAACTGACTTTGGGAATCCATATCAGAAATTATATATGTACAAAATGCTCAATGCAAACAAAATACATAAATGTACATATAAAACCCAGATCTCTTGGGCACTATTCTAGGTTTCATAAATATGAAATACCCGTGTCATATGTGTCGCCTTCTCTATTTCAGTGGATCTTGTGTGCAACATATTCGAGTCATTGGGTGTTTGTAACTGCGGGATATACTCTGACCATGAATACAGAACGATGCACGCAGTCCCTTGATTAAATGCAGCCTGTAATTGTTGGTCACCGAAGGATTGTCATTGACTTCCAAGTTTTATGAGATAAGCCAATTATTTTATATAAAAGGGGAGAAAGCAAGGTGTAATGTTATAATTCTAACGTTAGTTTGAAAATCGTGTGTTGTTGTGACTGCTGGTCTTCGGATGGTTTAAACGAAAATATGTAACGAACCTGTCTGTTAGTTACTCATGTCAATCAAAGCGACAGAGTAATCGGCACAAAAATTTCAGAAATAATTCTTGTCAATCTGAGACAGAATGCGATGTGTAATGCTGGATTTTGAAAATCTGGTTAAATACTCACATGTGTGACGAAACTGAGGGTCTGTAACAGAAAGTCCGCCCTTTATTTAGTTATAATGGTCAGGGTTAGCCTGGCATGAGTGGGTCAAAACCCAGGGCGAGGCTTACCTGTGCAAATGAATGGGAAGCAGACTCTATATGGCGGGGAACTCTCCGTCACGTTACACTGGCACTCACGCGCAGAATTAGGACTATTTTGTGTCGAGCTGTTTTCCCCAGGAATTTGGTCTAGTAACTTTAACTTTTCCGTTTGCTGTGCTTAGAACACATGCGTTATTTATATAATTAGGACCAATGCAATGATTGAAGTGCGCGGAATTACATTTTGACTCCCCTTTAAGCTGGTGTAATGATAATGATATGATGAGAAATGGACAGACGTTATGTTGGCTGTGCAAGAGTACTCGCTTAAGCTATTAAAGTTTATGTTACTCTAAGGCTGCATGCGAGGTTTGCATAACTCTCATTATGATTGTCCAACTGCGACCTGATTATTCAGAAACTTGTCTGTTGGTGAATTCGGCTAAATAAAGATGCGCTCCAATTGATTAGGTCGACTAAAAAGAGAATACTGCCAAGATAAATCTAAATAATTTATGTGAAAGTCGCTGAAGCTAAAATCTTGGTCTACTTCAAAACCCACTTAAAATGAAGTATTTGAACTGAGTTTTTAGAAAAACTATTGGAAAATCCAGAGGAATAGGCCTAATAAATATAGATTAGTTTAAGTCTTCTTTTTCAAATATATTGTTACTAAAATCCACGCCGATATGTACGCATGAAATAAGATCACTTAGTTCAAACAACCAGTTATCTTCGTCACTGGATCACTGGATAAGGCTAGACGACCTACATCTTGCTATCTACAAGACGGTAGATACTGTAACTCAACTTAAGAGGTGGAGGTAAAAAAATAAGGGTCCAAACAGAAAGAAGTACACGCCAGGGAAACGTACGTGTTTCTTAAGACATGGAGGAGACCAAGTGGTCTTTCCTGATTTTCTGCGTATTATGTTTGGTCGTCTTCACGAGCGGGTTCCTACCTAACCATGACAACGATTTTGGGAACTCACCGACTGCCTCGAATTATAAGCACGATGATATCACGGAGTCGGCCTTGCTGCGTGTCATAGCGAGGCTCCTTGAAGACACTCCCAAGCCGGATGGTACGAAGGTCGCCAAGGGAACTCTGACTGGGTTGAAGTATCCTACACCCCAGAGGCTTTTTGATGCATATTACGGCAGTAAGTTGCAGTGTAATATATAGTACCGCAGGGGCCGATCCAGAGATATTTTCTGACAGTCTTCCAAATAATCTTTGTTGAACCATCCTCCATTTTTTGACCGTCTTCCGACATAACAAAAATACATACCCATCATGTAAACTTGAAAATCTGACCGTCTTCCAGAAGACGGCTTCAATACGCCCCTGGTACTGTAACTGCGTGTACTTAACTATTTTACGATTCAGACGTTATCAGCGTAATGTTGGGTTATTTAAACTTTTTTGCGGTATGCGGTAAAAAAAGGTAATTGGGGAAATTAAAATGAAGAGTCTTCTCTGCAGAATAAATACCATCTAACTGTTATATATACAAGATGCAAAATCAAATGCATATATATGGCTTCTGTTTTTCAGAGGGACAGGTGCTTGCGAAGAAGCTGCAAGAATCCATTGAGACAGTTATTAAGTTCAACGCCATTGTGGATAAGGAACACAGAGGCGAGGCTTTGTTTCATTTCAATGGAGAACAGATCAAAGAAGGTGAGAAAATGTAGGGTCACGCACATAGGAAATAAGTCTAGGATTTTATTTTTATACAAACTCATTGATTAATTAATTAATTAATTCCGTGTGTTTTAAACCAATCCGTATGGCGACGGCATGAATTCTTTATTACTGCTATAGAAAGCAGTGGTAACACATCAAGCCAAGGTGATGAAGAACCTTGCTTCTAATTTTTTGCAAAATATGATAACTTTAAAGTGTATCTACTATAAAGCAACGTGTTATTGTTATTGCTATTCAACGCCAGATTCCCATGCCCAACAACAGTGTTACATGTACTTTATTGATTCTGCGCAGGGAGAGCCTGTGAGTGATATGGCATTTTATATTTCCTTTGTGTATTTCTATTCCCAACAGGGTTTGAGAAACTCAGTGCCGCGCGAGAGCTTTTCAAAGGCCTCGCCAAGGCTAGAAATGCAAATTTTGACGTCCTTCGTCGACTGCTGGGAGTAATTTTACATATGATTCAGGATTTTTACAGTAACACCAACTGGATTGAAATGAAGGGATCTGTTGTGTACCAGGACTTAGGTAAAGCTTGCCACCTTTTTTGTTTGTTTTTTTAATTTCCGTTATTTCAAAACTTACATTTATTATTGATTTTTTTACTTGATATGATTTATTTTAATTTTTTTTATCTCAAATGGCTCAAATATATGAGAGAATAACTGAAATATTGACATCATATGTAGGTTGACATCATATGTATGTTGTAGGTATCAAAGGCAAACCCATTCTTCCCGTGGCTTCACCAGGTATTATGACTTGTCGGAGCTGTTCCTGGTAAGTTGACGTGCGCAACGGACGGGTGTCCATCCTCGTCATGTCAGTGAACCTCGAGACTGGCCTAACATAACATAATACTACACTCACAGTCAACACAGTCCCCGTCATCAGTCCCACGCCCACATACAGGGGCGGATCCAGGATTATTTTAATGGAGGGGTCCGTGGATGCGAAGCTGACCCTCCCCCTCCCCCCAGAAATATTTTAGTATTTTGGAGGGCGAACGGTGCCATTTGGTACGGTTTATAAGTAAGATTCAGTTAGTCGAAATTCTAATTTCAAGAAGGGACCAGAAATCAAAGGGGGGGGGGGTCAGGACCCTCCTGACCTCCCCCTCTAAATCCGCCATTGCACATATATTGCTACATGTATCACTTACTACAGTTATGCACTGCATAAACCGCCCCATCCTCTACCTTACTCTTTTGCATTAAAACATGCTTTATTTTGAAATCGAGTAGCATTAATTGCAAGTATTAAGATGGCTGTTTATCACCTCAAAATTTCGGTATCACACTAACATAGTCCACGTGCTGTTTTCTCTAGGCAGTGCAGAAATAACATTGTCCTGACAGGCGGAGTCTTGACCAGCGGTTACAGAACTGGACAGGACATACAGAAACCTGGTGGGTATGGCATAACATACACTGAATACAGGTGAAACTGTGCCTTGACGATGAAATTATACGCACGATTTACAGGTACACGTATGTCATACGCACAATATATTTTAAACAGGCGATGTTTTTTAGAGTTTGGCTTGGCACTTTATGTTATGCCACCTCCCTCTTTTCGTTCTAGATTCTAAATTTAAATCTCGTGGCATTGGGAAATGCAGCCATGGCGGTGAATCTGATGCTGACTCCAAGGTCAAGACAGCCACTGGGGGCATTAACAAGGAGACGACCGTTGAAAAGCTATCTCCACATTATTATCTTCACTCCGATGCTGGGAAGACGGCTGTCCGTGCTACAGAAATGTACATTGATGGCCAAGGTAAGGCGTAGCTGGTATATATATTGCCTGGAAATTTTTTACAATAATTTTCAGAGTCTAGGGTTAGTCCTTGTGGAAAATTCAGTATGTTCAACTTTGCGTTTTTTATTGCCAGCATTGTAATTTTAATTGGATAAACTTATAATTGAAAGCAGCTTCCGTGTTGTAGGAATAGGGTTACGACAGAAAATCGGTGATGCCAGTCTAAGAAAACTATTTCAACTTACAACTGGGAACTCCCTTGTGTTCGTAATTGACACAACCGGATCTATGAGCGACGAAGTTGCTGCTGTGAAACAGGAGACGCTGAAAATCATACAGAATACTAAAGGCAAACTAAACGCACCTTCTGAATATGTACTGGCGACTTTCAATGATCCAGGTACGAACTGTATACCACGTACACTCATACGTGTGAGTGTGTTATAAAAATATGAGACATTTCTGTTTTTACTCTTGGTGCATGCTTGGCCATACATCGCGCTTGGTCACATATTACTAAAACCTTTTCGGAATTTATGGTAAGGTTAACGTTATTTTGATATGAATGTCCGTCACATTTCAGCTTCGCTCACCGAGGTTCGGGTAACAACTGACCCGGATGTGATGATATCGTGGATGCAGGCAATCCGAGTAACAGGCGGAGATGATTGTCCGGAATTCCTGCTCAGTGGCATGATAGAAGGTAGTGTACAGTTTATAGACTTATCTCTGAAGGCCATCTTCACGATAAGATGTGCTGAATGTCACTGAGTAACTTACATCTTTATTCTTGTTTGTATTTTTTAAAACATTAAAATGTTCATATGGGTAGGCCTATAGCGCACAGCTTTATATAAAACACAGGTTTACACGTGACATGCATAAATTAGAATAAGGTTTATTTTTTCTATCAATGCAAGACTTTAAATTTTAAATAGACTTGGCTATAGATGAAAACCATGTAATACATAATTTATGGTTATTTAAGGTTACTCGCCAATTTGCAAAATAGAGAAGAAAAATTGTAATAGGCCTTTCATATATTTGCCATGCTAATTCTTATCAACTCTTATTATTAACGTAAAATTCTTCTCGATAGGTCATATCTTTACTATACGTGTTACATATGATAGAGATGAATGGCTCTCTCCCTCCTAGTACTCAAACAAAATTCCGTTTGAAATGTATTTCTAGTCTTGTAATTTGTCACTAATGGCTTTCTACTGGGTGGGACTGGCACCCCCTGTCTATTGGAAACTGCTTTTAAATGGAAGAGTTCTTCATAGTCTTTTTGACAATACGTGTATGGATTATACCCACCACTGATGTTATTGAATTACAGCTGTGAAAGTGTGTCAGCCAGATTCGGAGATGTTTGTTTTCACTGACGCCGATGCAAAAGACCCAGAAAGAACGTCGGAGTTTATAGCTTTAGCAACTGCCAAACGGGTTTCGCCACAGTTTATTCTTACTGGCAAATGTTCAAGGAGACGGAAACGCACAGGTTTTTTTTTTATTTATTTTTTTATTTTTTATTATTATTTTATTTTGTTCTCGCTGGGTTTAACTTTATGTTATAAAAGTGCTCATGCCATACCATTCAAGCACTGACTGACAAATCCATCGGCTAATACTATTTTAATATCTTAAAAGATAACATACAGCAAAGATCTTAATGTTTTCGCATGTAACGAAAAGTCCGCAACAACATTCCAAAATCAGGCTTTGACCCCGTCCCCTTACCTAGATGAATCTAGCGGTTTAGATGTCTGACACGCCTACTGAAACTGCTTAACGATGGTTAATTACCCCTTATCTGCTTCACTAGGCGTGCCAGACGCCAGAGCCGCTTAAGCTGAATGTAATTTAGCGAGAAATTGGTCGATCCTGCTGGATCGATCTAGATATGGGAACGCAGTCTAACATTTCATTTAACAAAACCGTAATTCATATGTTAGATTCCATTATCACATTCGCATTTTCCAGCATATACAGGTGATAACTTTGTTAAACTCTCCAGTGCTGTAGGAGGAACAATTTTCACCACCAGCAAAGCCGAGATCAACGACACGGTCAAAATCATATCAGTGAGCAGTCGTAGCTACAGTGTATATGGGAATATATGAGCAGGGGCCTGTTTTACTTGAGAGCTTTAGTCCGAAAATTTAACTTTAACACCAAAAAGTATATACTATTTTGAACCAAGATAAACCAGAAAAAATCTAATTCAGTAATACATTGCTCCAGTTTTGTAACTAGAAATATATGGCTTTATGTTTAAGATCAATTCTCATTTTATTTAAGTGGACTGCTATAGATATCTCTTGAACTGTATAGATAAACGATTTATTTAAACGATTTATTCAAACTTAACGAAGTTTGGGGATACATCTGTATTGTGAAACGGGTCCATGACAGTGATATTTTATAAATGTACTTGTGAATGCAACTTTGACTAATCGTGCCTAAATATTAGCCAATTGTCAGATCTTTTTGTTAGTGGAATTTCGCCTAAAAATCAGCCCTTTACAGAATTTTTATCGGTACTGGTATTTTTATGTATTGCTCTTCCTCTTTCAGTTGTCAGTTGAAGACACTGCCCAGGCAACGTTACTGAAGCATGTATGGACGTTTTCCAGCCAAACCAATGTTGGCATGCTCCATGTGGACCACACGGTGGCTCAGTTGTCTGTCAGAGTACGAGGACTGTCTAGCACTCCCGCGATTAAGATAATTAACCCTGAAGGTATGGGTGTTTAGATATATATACATGTACTATCAATTTCTTTTTTATATCATTGTTTAGGAAAATTTGTATGGCCTCTTTTGTGTCGTCAATAACACTTATTGGTGACATCTTGCAAGTAGAAAAGCATGTGAAAGGTCCCAGGGTAGTCGTGAACATGTTTCCTATTTAAACAGTTCAGTTGTAAAGTATTATAGAGGGAATAGGCTGAAGGGGGACAAGACGTAACAGAAACACCCGACCACTAAATGTACGCATTTTGTATAAACGCAGGTATTGAGCATGCTGACATGAAAGTAGTACGTGCAGGAAATTTTGTCCAAGTGTACAACATTAAAGTGAGTACTCTACTGAGGTCTGCTATTCGTAATGCACGTATCAATCTGCAGAAACATAGCGATAAATGGTCAGAGTAACTGCATTTCAATGCTTGAATATATTTGCACTGCATGCATTGGTTCTGTTTCAAGAAAGTTTGCAGTATTGCTTAATTGCCACAAGAAAACAATACATCTACTCAAGACGAATCTCACATTTAAAACAATTATTATCTTGCCTCCGAAATAGGAATAAAAACATACAAATTAACAAAATCAATATAAATGTGCGATCTGGAATACAAAATAAATAAATAAATAAAATTGCGCGTTTAATTTTGTTTTTGGCAGGAACCGCCCCCTGGTGTGTGGAAGATCACCCGCGTGATCAAGGACGAGTATGACGTCAGTGTGACAGGTCACACCACGCTGGACTTTACTTATCAGTTCCTAGAAACGGTGACAAACACTGGCAATGTGTTTCCTGTACATGGTCAGCCATTAGCAGGTACTTTAGTACCCTGTATCTGTAACACTAGTAGTTTTTTAAATCACAACTACGTCTAGGTATTATTATTATTATTATTATTATTATTATTATTATTATTATTATTTACCGAGGACTATAAATCGGTATGGGGAATAAAGTAACTGACAAGAAAGTCACAACATTGATTAATTACCATCATTTCATACATAATAAAAACTATGAAGTAAAATGAGAAGTAAAACCCTGATTCAGAAGATCAACTGCTTTGATTTTACTTCATGTATAACAGTTAAAATGAAACTTACGCAACATATTGTCATACACTGATGCTTTTGTTATTTCAAGGGGAAAATACGACGATACTGATCTCTTTGACGCAGTCGGTCCAAGTTGCAGGCTTAGCCAAGATGTCCTTTGTTGACAGAAATGGACTTCTCATGTCAGACGTCATGTCGATGACTAAAAATGGACCTAGACGATTCATTGGACATGGTGTCGTCCCAGTAAAGGTAACATTAAGACTACTGTATGAGTAATTTGGTGTTATATAATTATTTATCCACCCGAGGAATTATATTGGAATATATCTATAGAAATGATATATGTGAAAGAAAAAAGTATTATGAATAACTTGCCTCGGGTGTTTTAAATGTGAAATGTATACCCAATTAATTGTATGCTTTAAAATCATGTTATTCACATTTTAAATATTTTCACTAAGACCCTCACTTTCAGAGTTTCTCAGTGATGATCTGGTTCACTGACAATTTCGGGCACGTTGTGGTGAGACAGAGCTCTGCGATGATTGCACCGTCAGTTTCGAAACCTGCCAAGTATTATGATGACGACATCTATGAGAAATTGATGTCATTCAAACCTCTTAAAGTAAGTCAAGTGGTGCCTTCCACGCAATGGAAAGAGTCAAAGGTTATGGCTTTTTACAGCGACACAAATGTAGATAAACATCTCGCTTTTCTAATATTTTAACTGAAAAGAAAAAACTTTTTAACTTTAGTCATAAGCAAAACGTTTGATCTATGTATAACAAATGAAGACGTGTCAGTTAAAATAAATCACCCAACCATATCCTTTTCAGGCTACAGTTGCATCAAAATCTTTGTCATCTAACAAAACCCTACTGACAACTGTCATCGTCACATCTGTCCTTCTTATCATTGCAACGGCGCTTATGGTGGTGATTCGAAAGAGGAATCTACCTCCTACCAGTAAGAAGAGCCTGGAAGGCAAGAAGATCATGTTGGGTTCCAAAAAACCTTCCATCACGTGTATTGTCAGCCTCGATCCCGAGAGTGGTAGCGTGTTTGGGAGTGAACAGGAAAGAGGCTCCATCTTCTAAAATAACGAGTGCGATTGCCATCACAGATAACTGTCTTTTTATAACGGACGTTTATTTAATTCCTTCATTGACAGACTAGTTAGGCTTGCACCATAAATAGTAAATGCGTTCAAATGTATCCTACCTGCAATGTTTATGTTAAAAAATTTGTAATTCGGTTATAGCTAAAAAATGAACTATAAACATATACCGGGTAATTACCAGTAGTACATTTGGGTGGCGGACTCAGTGCAGAACATCTTGATATAAGGTCTCCATTTGCTGTTATTCTGTTTACTGACTGTAACATGACACGTATTCTGCATGTGAATTGCGCACCAAGTCTTACCGTTACTTAGCATCTTCCAGTTGAATCTGTATTTTCACTCATCGATCATCGCTTCTAGATGATTCTTATTTTAACTGATTTTCCTAAAAAGCTGGGAATCAAAAGGCCGTAGATTTTCATGGTCCCGCTGAAATTGTTTCAGCGTATTTTGACGCTCCTCCTCCACGTGTCCTGCGTAATGCACATACATGTGTCACTTATCAAAACACAAAGCATGCGTGAATTTAATAATAAATTGGCTTCATTTCCCAAAATATTTCTGTTCTACTGTGATACCATGCACACTTATAGTTTTGAGCAACGCATATTAATGGTCTTTTATATTTGGCATTTTAAGTGTAACCTCGAACTTCTCCATGTCACAATAATGAAAAACTTAGGTTACTGTATAACTCAATCCTTTTTGCTTTAAAATCGTTTGAGATCTTTACTAATGGCGCTTTTATTTATTTCATTTATTCATTTTCGTAATCTTATATAAATAAATAAATTATCTCTGTGATACTGTTTGCTGTATTCCTGCAACCCACCCCCCCCCCCCCCCCCAAAAAAAAAA